TATAACCCATAGCTGTCAGAGATAAATGTGTTAATGAATAATTGATGTGATTGATAGACAGACTTAACTAGATAGAAGCTATTTTAAAAATAAACTGATTTTTTTTTAATAAGCATATTTAAATGGCTAGGATGTAGTTTTCTCATGCCTTGCACTTTAACCTTTAAATTAATTTTCACATGTTTTTGTGCTTATTAAGAGAGGAATTTTGTAATAGACAGAATATATACTATTCCAAGTAGTCGCTAGCAAATGGGACGTACAATCTTATTTTTGTTTCAAGTGTGCAGTGAGACCTCCTGCAGTAACAGATTTATTCTCAAATATGTAAGTAGCAAACTATTGTTACTTCTGTATTGCTTAACAGCTAGTTAGGAGGGGTGAGAATTTAAACAAAAGGGCTTGTTTGTCTTTCATCATTAGGTAAGAGTGTTACAGAGAGAAAGAACTACAGAAAAGGACAACTAATTAAGCCTGTGCCTTTCAAAAACCAAGCATCAATCTGCAGTATGCTGCTTACATTTGTAATAAGATATTTGTAACAACTTAACTTTGTGGCTGTTAGAAAGCATGTTTTGTGGTCAAATTCACAGTGAAAATGTGGAATGATTCCATGTTTTCTAATCAGAAATGTAGGCTTTTGCCTGCCGTAGTACAGTTCTAACAGCTTCTGCAGTGCAGAGCAATGTGCAAATAAAGTCTAGTAGCCAGCAACAACAATAATGCACTATACAGTAAAACTAACCAGAAGAAGGATTAGATGTGTTTGCTTATTTATTTATTTATTTGTTTTTGCATGAAATTCTGGATATCAGTTGCTAGGCTGGCAGGATGGAGCAAAGTAGCACCAGACTAAGCAGCTGGTATAACAGCTAGGGGGTTAACACGCAGATAGGCAGCATAAACAGGTAGCTTCTTTAGCTTTAATTAAAGGTTTCACCAGAATGAAAATGTTTCTGTAGAACTTAACTGATTGACAAAATTTTACCTCACAAATACTAATTTGATATTAGACTTATATGATATTGCAATAGCTTTTCCTTTTCCTTCTGACTCAATGAATTCTCTGATCTTTCCTGCAGAATGGTACAGTAGCAGTATGAGCGGTAAAAATCGCACATATCTGAATACACATATGCGTGTACAGGAACTGCCTGTCTCTGCACGTGCCATCTTGTGTGGAGGATGATGAAGTTGGGTCACATTTGTGGATTGCCATCCCTTTATATGAAATAAGGATTGAACTGGCATGTTCATTTTCCTGGATGAGTGCTGTATCTTCTTGACTGGCAATCTAAAAAAATCAGGAGACACCTTAACTGGTGTTTCTGATTATGTTTTGTGTAGTTTAGGCTAGGAACACTCTTATTGGCTTGAGCGCACTGGAGGACTTGCACAGAATATCTCGACCTTGCATTCCAGCGGGTACAGAAACCATAGGTCCTTGGGGCGCGGTATTTACAGCCGTGCATGGAAATGACTGGAAATTCTGTGGGGCTGGGAGGAGAGGCACAGCAAAAAATAAGTGCAAGTACTTCTGTAGCCGCTCTCTGGCTAAATACATTAAAGACTGGCACATGCTACCACGATGAGGCTGATAAATGTCCTTCTGCAATCTCATAGCACTAAATAAAAAAAAAAGGAGAACAATCCAAATTCCTTGGATCTAGGATATGAGGGCAATTTTTGAAGATAAGGAAAGTTAGACTGTGTATGTTCTACAGCTGGGATGAGTAAGACCAGCTAGTGCATTTCCATACGCATAAAAGCATTATAAGACAAGTATTTGGAGGAGTTTTAGTAGCCTGTGGTGCCAGTCAAACGTTTTAGGTTGGTGCCTGAGGGAAAGAGGGCACTAAAACAGTTTCAGAAATATGGGCAAGCATCTTAAACTTGCTCCACTTTCCAATAGCTTGATTCAGAAAAGATGTAAAGAACACTACATCTAAATTGTTACTGTTTCAAAATCTCCCTCACGAAACAAAAAAAAAAAAAAACCTACATAAGCTTATTAGCCCTTTATTTAAGGTGTATTTTATTTTTTTACTGCTCCTTCTGAAAAAAATACCGCTTTTAAAGTGCTTGTTTTATAATGAATAATATTAGCTTCAAATTGCCTGTTCCTGTACCTTTGTAAACTCCGGCCCACCTCTTTTTTGACCTTCCCTTTGCACTGGTACAGCATAGGTTTTTATAGTATTCGTTTATACTGCCAAAGTACTCAGTGCAATATGCAGTGAGAGTTTTATAACATAATATTTCTCCTCTGTGAGGAAACAAGGTCTTGCACTGGATACTGATATATGGTGACATGTCCTTCCATGTCCCATTTCTACTTAATATTTCCATCTTTGACAGCCAGGATGGCTGACTTCAAATAATTTATCATATGCCTACCATAGTGCTGTCTGGATGTCCTGAAGACATTTAGATGAACTATTCCCAAACCAAATATCCCCTCCAAAAAATTCTCAAATCTAGCCTAGCTTTGCTGCTTCTGTTCGTGGGTGAGGATCCGTGACTCGAGGTTAAGAATATAGTCTCCAAGTCAAACCAAAAGCATGAAAGTTGTTGAAATCCAGAGAAGAGGTAACATACATTTTTTTGGCTGTGTTTTTTAAAGTTATCACACATCTTATTCAGCATATTATTTTTAATAATATAGATTAATAAGAGAAAGAATTAAAGCTCTTACATATTCATTTTATACAAGGCAAGTTTATTTTATAGAAACTATTTATTAATATTTGCATGTTTACTTTCTTGGGTCTTAACCGCGTTTCGCCCCTCAAACCTAACTTGGGGAAGGGGAGGTTTGTTCAGAAGCTTACTCCTGGATTTGCATCAAGTCATGGAAGTAGGCAGGACAAGCTCCCCTTTGAGGGATCTGGGAAGGCATTTAGTAAGTAGGGGGCTATTTTCAAGAGAAGTAGTCTTTAGCTCAAAATAACATGGCCATATGTTGGACAGCCTGCTTAGGCTGTCATAAGCAGAAATTGAATCTAGGAATTTACATCTAAAAAGCATTCATTTTCGCTGCCTGAGCTGACCAGTGGGGGCTTATTACCCAAGCAAGGATTGAGCTCAAATTTAGATCCAGGTCGTGTATGAGGACAAAGAATCAGAGAAGAAAAATCTGGGCTCCAGGCACTTGCCATTACTATCTTGAATTTACTGTTAATTTACATTACCATATTTTGTCTGGCTGTGCTATTGCCTAGTACTATCACAGTATGATTCCAAACCATGAAACAAAAATTAAGCCATAAAATAACGCCTGGGAAGTGTGGTTTGGAAAGGGTATACACTGATATTAGCAACGCACAGAACAAGACTTTGGAGGAGACCACTTTTCTGTCTAGTAAATGCACTCCTCTACTACTGGCGCTACAGAAAGGAAAAAAATAATGAAATAAGTTTCCTTTGAAAAATGTTATTTAAAGAAATTGAGTTGTTCAATTAAAGTATCTTGAAACGGAATACAGTCACAGTATTTTATTTAGATGATGGTATTTTGATTTAGGTTTTCTCTCTCAGTCTTGAGTTTATCACTTGTATTTGTTAACATTATTATTGTATTAATCTAACTTTATTATGAATACATTTGGAATTGTGAGTTACTTGGTTTTGCTTGAAACAGGAAAAAAAATGCCTTTGTAAGAGAACTCAAAGCAGAAGTTCCTAATTTAGTGGGGGGAGCGAGGAGAAACTATGCCTACCAAAAGACTATCTACAGTTATTTACTGTGTAAGATTGATTAGACTTTAGTTTTAAAAGCTGGAGCTCCGAATTTGCAATCTTCTCTTTCAATTTTCTTTTAATTGCTGGCCTGCTAGATGATTTGGGACACATTGCTTTCCCTTTCTGTTCATTTATTTGTCTGTTTATAAAATGAAGATAATGGTATTGATAATGATATTATTGTACTTTGCAAAGCCATTTCTAAGCTTAAGTGAAAAGTATTTTGTAAAACCAAGCAATTATTAAAAATAGAATCTATTCATTGTCTCAATTGTGGAATGTCTGAATAGTTTTATGATTCATTTCATTATAGGGTTTTTTTTTTTTTTTTTTTCAAAATAGGAGAGGATTCCATAATGTCTGAATATAAAACAGTATATATGTTGACTAACATCTTATTCTAGCTACAGGAAGAACTCTATTTAGAAATAAATGGAAGGACGTAGATGGGTATACTGGCATCCTAAAGATGTATCTACTCCTTAATAATGAGAAATATTTTGTTGGATAATTGACTTGATAGAAGCAGTTTATCAAAAGGTTATTCACATTTTTTTTTAACTATAACTTCTCATCTAATCAAAAACCCTCAATCTTCTAATGAGCAAGTCAAGAAAAAAGGACTTCTATTATTGGAACAGTATCCTGACAGGAAAAAAAAAAAAAGTCTTTATATACCTTTAGTAACATATGTTCATTAGTTATTAAACCGGTGGAGAATATGTTTCTTCTGTTGTCCCTTGGGTTTAGGAAAATGTTACTCTTGAAAAATAGGTGGTTGTTTTATCGATGTAGGTGTTCTGCATAACTTAAGCCCTCCCGTTCCACATCGTGAGTGTAAGAACCGCAGGGCATGTTCCTTGTACTGGGGGACAGAGCAGTGCTCTGCCTGACCTGTGCTCCGAGCTGGGCAGGCACAAAGTCTTTTCAGCCTGAAAGTCATGTAGCCGCATCATGATAGTGCCGTGCCTGACAAATAATGTGGCAGTGTGATTTCTGGACTGATTTGTATCTGGCCACTTGGTCATGCGGAGTGGACAAGACTCTCTGTTCACACTTGTCATGGTATACTGTTCATGGATGCATAAAAAGTCTCATTCACTGTCTCTATGAATTATGCATAGAGCGTGTAAATGAATGTGTGTTAAAAAAAATTCATACAGGGCCTGTATCAAATTTTTCTAATAATCTGCTGATCTTCAGACCTGATCAATTTTATGTCTTCTATTAATAATTGTTATTTATTTATCTTACTTCAGGCTCTCTGGAATGAATATACCTCCTCCAGTTATCAGCAACAAAAACTGGCTCAGACTGCATTTTGTAACAGACAGCAATCACCGATACCGTGGATTTAGTGCTCACTACCAAGGTACATTTAAAGAATAAATTTTTGTTGCAGTAATTTTGCTAAGGAAAAAAAAGAATTCGGGTTGTAAAGGAAAAGGAAGAGCCATTTTACACCAAGAAAAACCTCCTTAGAAACAGGTTGTTCATACTTTCATAAATGTGGGAAATTCAACTGTGGGAAAAGTTATGTCAAAGTACAGTGTATTAGAGTATAGGTAGTATAGTATGTATAAACATACTTTAATTAAATTACAGCAGATAACGACGTCTAATGTACGCTGTGCAACTACTTAGCTTTTTAAAGGGTCCTAATATTCTGAAAGATAATATGCAACAGATGCAGAAACAATATTTTTATAATAAAAATTTTAATTTGCCTCTATGGTTGTGTAAGTGATGTGTGTAAAACAGTGAGTAAGTTTCTATTTACTAGGGCAGTTTTATCACTGTTATCTCTTGCTACCTATTTCTGAATGCGTTGGCATATTAAGGGTTTAATTAACCTTGTTAAGATTCTTATCCACTGTTTTTATGAACGAGCATAATTTTGCGGAAGAGTGAAAGCATCTGAAGCTTTAACTTGGGAATCTCACTGTTTCCAAGAAGATCATTAAAATGATGAAGTGCTAATGAAAATTGAGCTTCATTAGTGTTTGGTAATACTGTCTGCTTTTCCACCAGCATTACTGTAAATAATACTTTTCAATATCTACAGTGTATCAGTGGCTCTTCAGGGAACAGTAACCCTTTCTGTGGTTGCAATTTTCCATTTTTTTACCGAAAGGATTTTTTCACAGTATACATAACAATGTGATTTTGTTCAGGTATTTTTTTCACATTTCATTACAAGGAACAAAGCATAGGGCTACTGTACATAAATGTTTGCAGGATCTGGCCCTCAATGTTTTAACATTAATCAATTAATGTGCTAAAAATTACAACTGGCAAAAAGTTAGAGCTAGTAATTTTTATTATGTAACCATGATCTTTTACAACAGTAAACTTTTTAAAATTCCGTGTAATTATCTCAGATGAGCTCTATTCTGTACAAGAATAGAGCAGAATTTACATATATCCGTATATTAGACTTCCTGAGGTCAGGAATGTCCTGGAATGTGTTTTCTGAGTGAATTTAGGTAAAAGGAGCCATTCTACTGCAGCTGTAGGGCTTCTTTAACTGTTTTAAAAAGGGCAATGACTCATTTTGGTATAGCATCCTTCATACCAAAGGATATAAACCATATCATAGGCTAAAATCTTTACTGGAAACTGTCTAGCTTATGGGTCTGTTAAAAGATATGAAGCAGGAACTTGTCTGTTAGATGATCCTAACCAGCAACTGAGGAACCATGGGATAATTATTTTTGTGATTTATATGAAATCATATGAGTTGTTTAGAAGTTCGTTTTTGAGCTATACAGAAAAGGAAAACAAAGTACAGCTCAGATGACCCACTCACATCCTTGCTGGAAGTGTCAGGCAGTAGGTAATGAAAGAGAACAGACTTTTATTTAGTTTCAAATTCTGTTTTCTGCAAGTCAGATATTAAACATGTTAGGTGGTAGGTGTGGGACATTCGAATGCATAGTGTTACTTCCTATTTCCCTTTACAAACTAAACCATGCACCAGATGTTATATCTATTACATTACGGTATTTTCTTCCCAAGTTCTGAAGTTCATTTTATTATTTTGTTTTGCTTATTTAATTTTTAATGGTATACCATGAAAAGTATATTAAAGTATACTATATACTAAGTTCTGAAATTCTGCAGTAGTCTGCCGTACTTAAAATGAAGACAATCTTTTACAACTGTTTGAGAAAATTGACATATAAAGACAATAAATAATTTCAACATATAAAAACATTGAATGTGCATGTTCAAGCAGATATGATTGTTACAAATTAACTTTGATAACAGAAACTAGAAAAATATAATGTCAGGAAAGATGGAGAAGTGTTTTTTGGGTCAGTGGCAGACTAAAGGAAAGACTGAGGAAATAAAATAAACTTTGTGTTAAAAATCTCATAGGTTTAGAACAAACAGATACTACAGAAAATGTTTCTTTTTTTAAGAAGTGAAATCTATTGTTTTTCAGTCAGCTACAACTTTAAACCTCTGTGTAAATCCCATTTTCAATTTATTTGAAATGTAATAGAATTTTAATTTCATTTCTGTGCTGACATGAGCTGTCATAAAAGCAGAATAATTATATACAAATCAAAAAAAATATTCCGGAGTCATGGGATACAGACAGATGTGGCAAGTCTTCTTTTCAGGAGTTTATTTCTGCATTACTTTTGAGAGGGTATCTGTAAATCCTTTCAATATCCTGTATCATCACTGTGGTTTTTTTTATAACGCTGTAATAACTGCGTTGTAAAAACCCACTCTTTCTCCTGCTTAATTAACCGATATATTACTGTAACATCTTCCTGTCTTCCCACCTTGACACTCACTTAATCTTTGCTACATACTACCACTGTAACTAGAATAGTAATTTCTCACCACTTCGTCTACTTTTAACTTTGTCCCATTGTTGCCTCTTCCTGAAGAGCCAGATTCCAAATTCTGAACTCCAAGACACTGCCCACTTGCATTTCCGTGCTCCTCCTGCCTGCTTCCTCCCTTGGCTTGCTGTGTTCGTTTGCACAACCACACTTTTTAACACGGTCATACCTGCAAAACTTTGTTAGTTGTTTTATTTAAACCTAAAGAATGAGTGAAGTTCTGTATCCTGTGCCAGGCAGGGTAGGAAACAGACTAATCTTATTTCCTTCTGCTCTCTTAAATATGTGAAAATCGTTTCTTTAGGATGTTTTTTCACAAGGTAACCTCCCATGGTTTAGCTCAGGTACAGTATCTCATACTAGTATGGCCAAGTTACTTATACGAAGAATAATGATGCAATGCAAAATATTTAAATAAGCTGCATAGACCAAAAAAATAAGGAAATTGCATAATCTTTCCTGAACAACCTTTTTTAATTTTTCACTCATCATACTTTGCTTAATTTACCATTCAAGGCCTCAGTCTTGCAAACACCTGTGAAAGTGTTAAAATTGGCTTATAGAAAACAAATGAAATTCACCGAGGTACATGAAATTATGGGAAACTGTCAGCTTCGTGTAAGCACAATGTCATGCAGGTTATGTGCATTAATTTCTTTTAATAGGCATTTTGGTTTATAAAAGATACTGAATTATACAATACTTAAAAGTTCATGGGAAATGATTAATCAAAGGGTTATATTCAATTAGAAAAGAATCAAAATAATTTCCCTCCCTCTACCCTACCCAGTTTGTGCTGTTACAGCCAAGAAATGCTAATTCTCGCTGGTCTGATCACCTGTGTTTTACCACTTGTTTATATTCACTGAGGGTGCTTTGTCTTGATGTTTTGTGTCTCTGTTGCTTTCTGTCCTAAGTCCTTTTGAATTCATAAATTGCTGATTGTAGTAGGGCCAAAGTCTCCCTGATCTTCCTGAAGCTGCTGCTACAAGTTTTTCCTGAACTGCTGGCAGTTTTGCTCATTCTAAAATCAGTTGCGCTTTTTTACTCCATCCATTCACTGTTGCTGTAAAACTTCCTTGTGCTTGCTACATTGTGTTGGCTGCTCTTTACAACTTATCACTTATGCATGAATCCATAACATTATCTAAGCACGCAGAAGGCATTAAGTCAGCTTCACAGCTTCCAGTCTTAAAGGCAGAATACGGGAGTACACAAGCCTCAGTATTCTTCAGTTATGTCAAGCATACTTGGACTCCAAAAGGGCTTTTGCATAAGAATTCCCTGTTTGCTGATAGCTAAACATTATTTTAAGAATCTGTAGCTTAGCTGTCCCTTGAGATCCAGCATCCTCTCTCTCTAATGAAAATACTTTAAAGGCTCTAGGTGGTTTCAGTGGTAGCCCTATACTTGCTATCTGTTTAACTTGTGAAATCCATTTCTCATCTACTTTTGCTTCCTTCCCCCTTTCCTTTACCTTACATATTGTAATTCAGTTATTACGCTGTTTAAGCCATGCACAAAATAGTGCTTAAGTTATGAATAAAATAGTATCATATGTGTCGACTGAGTGTACAACCTCATCCGCCTTCCATTAAGAATCTTTGCTTATAAGAAAATATAGATGAAGGGATGAAATATATCCATGAGCTTTTCAGAACAGGATAAAATTTGCCATTCTCATGTATGAAAAGCATGCAAATGGTTACTTCGTTTAATACTTGAGAGTCAACTATGTGGAGCTGAAGTGAGGTAAAACCCAGCACTTCCGATGTGTGATGCCATACAGAGAAAACTGAGATTTAATAGTTTTCCTCTTTCAATTTATTTGTTGTTTGAGTCTCCATTGTTCTTTTCTTTTTTCTTTCTGTCATTTTGCATATGAATAAAAATATACCTTCATTCAGAAATGTTTCAAGGGAGCCAGACTTTTTATTTATTGTTTGAGAACTAATTTGAAGCATTTGGCAGTCAGGTAAAGAGCTTCTTACTCAAAAATAGAGATAGCCTCAGAGCATCATGGCCAGAGTTATCAGAAGGGGAAAACTGTCTCTGTCACTTGTTTAAGAATATCTTACAATTTAAACAGAATCTGTCATTAGTTGCTTATCTCAAAGTCTCTGATATTACTTTTGCAACTAACAGTATGTCTGTTAGTGCAGTACTTGTGCTGGAAGACTCAGCACTGGTGACAAAGTCCTAGGCTGCAGGTTAGGTTGCCAAAACGTAGACATCTTTGTATTACAGGTTTGCTAGGTGTCTAAGCACCCATCACAGTCAGTGGAAATGTGGGTCGCAGTTCAGCTGTCCGTGCAGCTATATGCACTGACACACGCGATGACCTAGGGTATCCAGGATATTCCTGGCAGATATGCACAGGCTTTTTCAGCAGTTGGAGACAAAGCAAGGTGTTACAAAGCAAGATGTTACAAAATATCAATATTGCACTAAATGAAAGTATGTGTAGGCAACTTAATCCTTCCCATATTTAGCTAATACTGTCCCTGCAGGC